ACCTTCATTGTCCAGACATGGATTCTGAGCAGGGCATCACCATGCCCCGCTGGCCCGGCTAGGGTGTTCTGTTTGTCTCCTGTGACTATTAATAGTTCTTCCATGGTAGCCAGAACAATGTGCTCCCTAATAATGTATTCTAATTCGTGAAATCCCTGAATATGTTGCTTAGCAGGGCAAAAAGGGACTCTGCCGATTGCATTAACTTAACGATTTCATAACAGGGAGATTGTCTTGGGTCATTGGATACGCTTATTATAATCTAGAAGTCTCTAATAGGAAAGCAAGGCTAACAGATTTGAAGATGCTATACCCTGACTTGGAAGATGGGGGAAGGGGGCAGAAGATAAGGGGGATACAGGCAGTCCTCCCTTAAATGCTGGAAAAGAAATGGGGTTCTCCCCCAGAGCCTACCAGAAACAACATAGCCACCCAAATGTGACTGTAGCTCAGTGAGCTTGCCAACTTTCAGAACTAGAAGTTGCTAAACCTCCAGTAAGCCACTAGGCTTGTGGTTAAGTTATTATAGCAGCAATTTTCAGTTTCTAAAGTATGCTGTTTATACAACACATACAGAGCCTGTAATATGAAGCTCTGACCTTGAAAAGTCAGGACTATCAAATTGAAAAGTTTCTATGTCAGTCTCTTCTTGAGTCTGGTTTTAGGGGACTCTGAGGCTTAGTAAGGCTTTTTTCCTGGCCTTTCCATGGGTTGCTACAGATTTACTGTTCTGGATTCAATAACGCTGTCGGGAAATAAAGAACAGAAACACAGAGCCACTTTCCAAAGTCGTAAATGCAGAGATTGCACGAGCCCCATTCCATCCAGATAGTCTCATTTAAAATCAAGACACTTGCTTTCCAGCAGGAATGGCTTTACTGTCCAGTCAGCACCAAGACAGAGATTAGCTGTGGGCTAATGGGAAGGAGAAAGAATGGATTTTATCCCCTGAGGATATAAAGTACGAAAAAGCAAATAGTGAATGTTGGGCAGGAGAGCCTCATTTAGTCATTTAGTTCTGCGTGGGTAAGCACACACATCTGTGAGAAAGTTGCCTTTCCTCTCCACTTACGGACATTTATAACCACAGCAGACGGTGGTATAAACGCATCACGATGGAGTGAGAGGATAAAGTCTAATTGCAGGCAGTAGTCAAAACTGACGGCGTCTCAGAGGCCACTGGTGTAATCTCCAGCTCCGAAGCATGAGGCCCTCTATAGTCCTTCTCTCATATACATGTCTCTTCTGCAGTGCTGGGAACTGGTTGCCAGCATGATCAATTCCGCTTTTGGAATGATTACTTTCTGACGCTGTTCCTATTTAACAGTAATCCTTTTATTGGCCCCTCTTGGTCCTCGCTCTGTTTTCTTGTTGCCACTGTGCAGTAAGTCTGAACCAGGGGATTAACGACAGGTGAGCAGTGGAACGCACTGACAAATTTTGAAGCATTACCTGCACAGGATGCCTGGAACTGTGAGACTGCAAACTGATTATACACCAGAATTCTGAAAACTCTTCCCATGGAGCCATAGCTGAGAATTACTGGCTTGCATCCACTTTTTATTGTTACAAAATCCTCACCTGAATTGAATATTCTCTTCTTTAGCTGTGGCTCTCAACTATTATTATTATTATTTTTTTTGGAGCAGAAATAACGAAACAATCTGAAGCTATTACTAGTAGCGTGAGGGAAGGAACCCATAGAAGGCATTCAAGAAGGCTCTGAGGCTCAAAGCTCCACAATTAGATTAGCCTCTTTACTGACAGACAAACTTGACAACATCAAAAGTCTATTTTGTTACTCAAATGCCATAGGAAAAAAATCAAACAAACAATAAGACAACAACCAAAAGGGAGTAATATTTGTAAGCCATGTATCTGATAAGGGTCCTGTATTCAGAACATGCCAGAAACTATTATCATTCAACAATAAAAACAGAAACAATGCAAAATGTATGTGAGCATCTTGGGATACGGCTTCATGGGTATAGTGTTTGCTTGCCTTGCACGCATGAAGGCCCGGGTTCATCCCCAGCACCAGCTCTTGTAGCACACACATGTGGTCCCAGCACGTGGTGGGTAGAGACAGGAGGATCAGAAGTTTAAAGTAATCTTCAACTGCAAAGTAACTCTGAGGTCAGCACAGGCTACATGACAGCTTGTCTCAAAATAAATAAATAAATGAATAAATGAACGAGTGAACAAATAAATAAATAAAATAAAATAAAAACAAGAGAGTTAAACAGATATTGTTCCAAAGTAGATCTATGAAATGTAAGCAGCTTTTTCTCCTAATATTTCCACAAAACATACAGATTTTTACTTTATTACCATGACTATTTTTTGCCTTTATAAAATTTACTAACATCTTTGCCTCAATTTTAAATTGCTCAAATTCAGAGAGCAATGGACTCACGGACAGTCAGTTAACAAGGCAAATCCTCCTAGATATGTCTACAGATTCTGATTTTTGAGACTCTGGAGGATGGTCAATGGGTCTGTATTTTAGCAGCTTCATAGGATGAGAGCAGACTTTCAAGAACTTTGTGTTGAGTGATGCTGGTAGCTGGAATGGTTCCGGACTGTCTAAAACATGACCTTGGTCCTCACTCAGAGCAATGGCTTTAGTCATTCCCAAACAGATGGCGAAGAGAGTTTTCTGATTTAGAAGCCAATGAAAATGTTATATAATTGATAACTAGAGCATCAGTTACAAGGTGAGCTGATAGGAACTGAGCTCATGCTAAGGAGTAGACCAGACTGGTTTAGAGTGGACCAGATGGTTAGCTGTAGGGGAGAAAGGTGGCCATCCTCCTGTAGTGGCCAGACCATGGCCAAGTGGTCTTGAAGACTCTGGAAAATAACTGGGTTTTGAGGGAACATGGCTCTCCTAACACTACGGTCAGGGACAACCGGAGAGGAATGTGATTTTACCCCAATGAGGACTTGGGTGATCTCAGGACACAGGAATTGCAGGATTCAGACAGAAGGAGTTATAAAAAAATCATTGTCCAGCCTTAGGAAGTTCCTTTCATCTGTCAGTTTGACACTACACCGGACAAGAGACCTCATACAAAGTAGAAACTCACAGAGAACTAGGGAGATGTTAGTCAAAGAGTACAAACTTTGAGTTATTAGATGAGTAGGCTCTGGACACTAGAGCCTAGTAAGGTCACACTAACTAATGAAAATGTTTTCATGAAACCTGAAGATGGCAGAGTCTTAATGAGGAAGGAAGTGAGGGAGGGAGGGAGGGAGAAAAAGGAAGAGAGGAAGGAAGAGAGAGTGAGTGAGAGAGAATGGCAACAGATCTGTTAATTAACTTGACTTGGTAAGCCTTTCACAAAATATGTGTACCTTGTTCTATGCTTTAAATAAATATAGTTTGAATTTTCAGTCACATTTGTAAAATCTATAGCATCTCTCCTTCTTGCTTGCATAGTCTTCCATATCTGTTTCTAGTTACCTCATCTACTGGCCTGGCCTGTGTTCTCCTCTCTCTGTTTTGAGTAAGACTTTAGCCTACGATAATTCTGATTATTCACTTTGGCTTTGCCTCTTGTCATCTCAAGTATCTACATTTCTCAGCTTATCATTTCTCCAAATGCCCCTCATCTGAAGCCTAGCTTCATGTGGTTGAAGGAGTTCTATCTGCTAATGTTCCTTAAGACCCAGTACTGGTGATATTGACTGATGCGCTCCACTGGTGGGGCATAGTGTCTTCATTTGCTGTTTCTTCTTCCTCGTCGTTGTCATCGTCTTCTATTTGTCCTATTTTGGACACTCTGTGCTTGACATTCTACATATGGCCACACTGAGTCATATTCCCCACTGATCCTTACCTCATAGGATTACTGAAGAATACAAAGTGAAAGAATACAAAGTGGGTCTCTTCTCATATGTCATACTATTAATGGAGGCAGCAAGCACGATGGTAAGAGGAACAGCAGTGGGCCTTGGCAGTCACACTCCATCAGTCACAGCTGCCCGTCTGAAGATGTGTGTGGGGTCTTTGTTGTGTTATGAATGAGAAATGTCCCCCCACGGGCGTATGTATTTGAGGACTTGGTCTCCAGGTGGTGCTCTTTGGGAAGGTTATGGAACCATTAGGAGGTGGCGCCTTGCTGGAGGAAGTATATCACTGGGGGTGAGCTTTGAGGGTTTGCTAGACTGGACCCATTTCCTCTTTCACTCTGTGTCTTCTGTGTGCAATGGAAAGTGATCGTTTCGCTTCCTGAATGCCAGATATGTCTCATGCTTCTGCTGCCAGGCCTACCTTCATATGAATGGACTGGATTCTCTCTGAACTATAAGCTAAAATATACCCTTCACCTTATCCCAAAGTTGGTTTCTGTCAAGCTGTTTTATGATAACAGAAAAACAAGCATGGCAGTCTCACCTTTGAAGAGACAGCCATCTTTGGAGGGATCTTTTTTTTTTCCTTCCTCTTTTCTGGAGCTGATACTTTGACTACAAATGCTTGGCACAAGTCTTTTCTTTCTTCTACCACCCCCCCCCCTGTATTTTAGCTAAGAAACTTCCTTGAGGATACACAATATCCTTTTCCCACTCATGTTTGCTATAGAACACCTGCAAATCGGGACTGCCCGGATCACATCACTTCTCCAAACAGAATACACTCTACCAAAGGCTTCTGCAAACTATGTTTTTGTGGCTACAGCTTGGAACTTTCTGACGAAAGGGGGAAAGCATGGCTTCTAGGCTAAACTGTCTCCATTGCTAAAGATCTTGTCTCCCCATGGCTGTGGCTTACCTTTTGTTGTCAATTGTCCCTAGTCACTGGTCTCTCAGGACAAAATGCTACCTTTATTTGGGTTTGAAATATGAATATCCAAATCGTGGGATCTCTACCCTCAGCTGACTTCCCATTCACTACATAAAATCAGGACCCTACCCCACCCCGAACCCTGTAACACTCCCACCAGCACTTGATATTCCCATAAACTGCCATTGCCACAGCAAACATTGACTCAACTTACCTTATAGTGGAAGAGAAACAGTCCGCAGAACAGGCTGTAGAGATCCGCTGTGAGAAGAGAAAGGTTGACCGAGGTGGCGCTTGTTTTCTTTATGACAACTGGCATAAAGCTGTAGAGACCGAACATGCAGGCACTAAAGCCCACATAGAGCAGCCCTGGGGAGCAAAGAGAACAGTGTCAGGGCCTCGTTGGGGCATCTTCAGCAGCTTGGAGGATAAAGGGAAGGTGCCCATCATCCATGACTCACTAAAAATGCTTTTTTTTTCTTTCACTGAATTAAGTGGTGTTGAATATTGGCTGGTACACAGATAAAACACAAAATGGAAACTTAAATTTTGTGTGTGGAAAAGGCACATTCAGCTTTTTCCCACAGAGCTGACATTCTGTTGCTTCTGGAAAGGGTGTTTCTTGGTGATTCTCTCTCACTTTCTGTCTCTCTGTGTGTATATGTGTGTGCACAAAGATACACACATGCTAACACATTCATGTGCCGGTGGAGACAGGGAGAAAGCATAAGATCCCCTGGAGTTGGAGATGAAGGCCATTTGAGCCACTCAGTATGTGTGTGGAGCATCAAATTCAGGACCTCAGCAAGAACAGCAATGTTTCTTAGTTACTGGGCCATCTCTCTTGTCCTACCCAGGTATTTCAAAACATTTTCATCCTCTTAGATGTTACTTGTAAAGCAGGAATAAAATATATCATGTATTGCTCTCAATGGTAAACTACATAGGTATTGAAATTAGACAACCCGGTCTTGGATTACCAAACTGGTCTTAACTATGACTTTGGGCAGACAATGTGATTGCTTTGAATATAGGAAATCTGCTAATTTCTTTAAAATTACTGAATTCTGCTCATCTCTACCCCAAAGAAACTGAGTGTTATCCTTCTTTCAGCCTTTTGAGGCTACTGCAGACTCTAGGCATGCCATTTTTAATACTATTTCCATGAGCAAACATTTTTGGATGGATTATAGCAGGGCTTTATAAGTAATTATAGACTCTGTCTTTCCCCAGGTGTTAATGTGATACATATTCATAAAAATGATGCTCATTTCTCTGCCTTGAAAGTACAAGACGTGATACAATTCATTGCTTCTGTGGGCATTATAAGTAACCTTTCTAATGGAATCTTGGGTTAAACCTGTCTCAGGTAGGATGTAGCACCTCGCTTCCTTTGAGTCCTGTGAGTTCAGGGGACTGAAGAAGAAGAAAACAGGAAACAAGCTAGAAACCCTCCACAGAGGGCCTCTGAAAGGCTCTGCCCTGCAGACTATCAAAACAGATGCTGAGACTTATGGCCAACTGTTGGGCAGTGTACATGGAATCTTATGTAAGAAGTGGGAAATAGTAAGATCTGGAGAGGACAGGAACTCCACAAGGAGAGCAACAGAACCAGAAATTTGAACACAGGGGTCTTCCCAGAGACTCATACTCCAACCAAGTACCATGTATGGAGATAACCTAGAACCCCTGCACAGATATAGCCCATGGCAGTTCAGTGTCCAAGTGGGTTCCATAGTAATGGGAAGAGGGACTGCCTCTGACATAATCTGATTGGCCTGCTCTTTGATCACTTCCCCCTGAGTGGGGAGCAGCCTTACCAGGCCACAGAATATGACAATGCAGCCACTCCTGATGAGATCTGATAGACTAAGATCAGAAGGAAGGAGAGGAGGACCTTCCCTATCAGTGGACTTGGGGAGGGGCATGCGTGAAGAAGGAGGAGGGAGAGTGGAATCAGGAGGGGAGGAGGGAGGGGCTTATGGGGGGATACAAAGTGAATAAAGTATAATTAATAAAAATAAAAATAGAAGACCAGTGAGTCCTCTAGAAATGAATGTTTCAGTCCTACGAAGGATACTAAAGGGCACAGAGCTTTTTCAATATTTCTCATGCCAAGTTTAAAAAAAGCTACATCAGATTCACATACAAACCATAGTGAATTTTAAGCAAACAGTCCAACAGCCCCCTCTAGTGTGGTGGACATGCCCTACACTCTGAACAAGATGATGTCCCTACTTTCTGAGTTCAGTAAACTAGGAGACCTCACTGTGTGTGTATATTCTGCTAAGATACTCGCAGGCAGTATGAGGCTCTCCAGAAGAAGATATGGCTCTCCCCACAACCTCTCCAGCATGTGTTGTCACTTGAGTTTTTTATCTTGGCCATTCTGATGGGTGGAAGGTGAAATCTCAGGGTCGTTTTGAATTATATTTCCCTGATGACTAAGGACATTGAGCATTTCTTTAAGTATTTCTCTGCCATTCTACATTCCTCCTCCATTTCTGGTGGGAATGTAAACTTGTACAACCACTTTGGAAATCATCTTGTGCTTTCTCAGACAATTAGGAATAGCACTTACTCAAGATCAAACTATACCATTCCTAAGCATATATCCAGATTATGCTCAAGTACACAACAAGGACAGTTACTCAATCCTGTTTGTAGCAGCTTTATTCATAATAGCCAGAACCTGGAAACAACCCTGATGTCCCTAAATGGAGGAATGGATACAGAAATTGTGGTACATTTACAAGATGGAATATTACTCAGCAATTAAAAACAAGGAAATCATGAAATGTGCAGGCAAATGGTAGGATCTAGAAAAGATCATCCAGAGTGAGATCCCAGAAGGAGAAAGACACACATGGTATATACTCACTTATAAGTGGATATTAGACATATAACACAGGATAAACATACTAAAATCTGTACACCTAAAGAAGCTAAGCAAGATGATGATCAATGGGGAAGATGATCAATCCTCACTCAGAAAGACAAACAGGATGGATATTGGAAGAAGGAGAAAACAGGGAAAAGGACAGGAGATTACCACAGAGGGCCTTTGAAAGACTCTACCCAGCAGTGTATCAAAGCAAATGCCAAGAATCATAACCAAACTTTGGGCAGATTCAGGGAATCTTATGAAAGAAGGGGGAGATAATAAGACCTGGAGAGGACAGGAGCTCCACAAGCATGGCAACAGAACAAAAAAAAAAATCTAGGCACAGGGGTCTTTTCTGAGACTGATACTTCAACCAAGGACCATTCATGAATATAATCTAGAACTTCTGCTAAGATGTAGCCCATGGCAGCTCAGTCTCCAAATGGGTTCTCCAAGGGGAACAGGGACTGTTTCTGACATGTGGCTGGCTCTTTGACCCTACCACCACCACCGTGGGAGGAGCAAGCCACAGAGGAGGACAATGCAGCCACTCCTGATGAGACCTGATAGACTAGGGTCAGATGGAAGGGGAGGAGGACCTCCTATCAGTGGACTTGGAGAGGGGAAAGGGAGGAGATGAAGGAGGGAGAGAGGGAGGGAGAGAGGGAGGGAGGAATTGGGAGACAATGAAGGAGGGGGGCTACAGCTGGGATACAAAGTGAATAAACTGTAATTAATATAAAAAATTAATATAAGCAAACAAACAAAAAGAAGTTTTAATTCCACAAAGATAGTTAATTTCCTTATGCTTGGGTTCCATGCTACTTATAATAGATTTTCCATTTAACCAGCTTACAAAAACTATTTAACAAACACTAGATAACATATGACTAATACATAAAAGACTTGAGAATTAATTCAGTATTCCTTAAGAAATCTGCCATTAAAAGATTGGGAAAAAGAGCTACCCTTAAATTATTCCACTGAAGATAATGAAATTTCGGTAGAACATAGTCCTTTCTGTGGCATCATTGACTTAGACCATGACTGAATAATGAGTTAGGATGAGTGTTAGCAAGTTCTAGAATCCTACCCTTTCATCTTATTGTCTGGTTAAACATACATGGATGCTGACTTGTGGCTCTGATGATTTGTACCCCCTCTGTTTTTTTCAAGTCATCCTTCATTGAGAATCTAGTGCATCATGGGCCCTCTGCTCTTGGCTAGGAATCAGACAAAACGGGTGATAGACAAAAAAGCTTAGAGCTGCTCATGGTGAAGAAATAAAAGGTTTCCTGGAGAGAATGGCTAAGGTTTGCTTTAGGAAGGATGCTCACCTAAGGCTGCTCTGCCAAAATGACACTTGCTTTGTATGCTAAAGACTAGCAGGAGATTAGAGGAGGCATGGAAGGACTATTTGAGGCAGAGATGTTGTCACCTGACAAGATTCTTTTTTGGTGGGTTTGTTTTTTTAATTTTTTTATTTTATTTTTTCTTTATTAATTACACTTTACTCACTTTGTATCCCCCGCCCCCTGTGATTCCCATCCTCTTCCTGTCCCAATCCCTCCCTTCTTCCACCCTCTGCATGCATGCCCCTCCCCAAGTCCACTGATAGGGGAGGTCTTCTTTACCTTCCTTCTGATCCTAGTCAATTTGGTCTCATCAGGAGTGGCTGCCTTGTCTTCTTCTGTGGCCTGGTAATGTTGCTTCCCCCTCAGGGGGAGGTAATTAAAGAGCAGGCCAATCAGTTCATGTCAGAGACAGTCCCTGTTCCTATTACAGTGGAACCCACTTGGATACTGAACTGCCATGGGCTACATCTGTGCAGGGGTCTTAGGTTATCTCCATGCATAGTCCTTGGTTGGAATAGCAGTCTCAAGAAAGACCCCTGTGCTCAGATTTTTTGGTTCTGTGCTCTCCTTATGGAGTTCCTGTCCTCTCCAGATCTTACTGTTTCCCACTTCTTTCCTAAAATTCCCTACACTCTGCCCAAAGATTGCCCATAAGTCTCAGTATCTACATTGATAGTCTGCAGGGCAGAGCTTTTCAGAGGTCCTCTGTGTCAGGCTCCTGACTTGTTCCCTCTTTTCTCCTTCTGAGGTCCAGCCACTTTGCTGGATAGGAATTGAGCATTTTAGCAAGAGTCCTTTCTCTTGGTTAGTTTCTTTAGGTGTACAGATTTTAGTAGGGTTATCCTGTATTATATGTCTATATGAGTGAGTATATACCGTGTGCATCCTTCTGCTTTTGGGATAGCTCACTCAGGATGATCTTTTCCAGATCTGGTGGGGTGTTTTGAGGCAGGGTTTCTCTGTGTAGTTCTGGCTGTCCTGGTACTCAGGCTGGCTGTGAACTCATAGAGATCTGCCAGCCTCTGCCTCCTGATTTCTGGGATTAAAGGGATGCACCACCATATAAAGCCTCTGAAAAGATTCCCAAGGCAGGAAAAGTTATGGTTTGTTCTAGGAGATTCCAAAAGCCA